ATATATGATTATATTTTAAAAAATATATATAAATTTAATGTGTTTGATAAAGGTTCTTAAAATATTTAAAAATGAATTTGATAATAGATATATTTTTTAATAACAATGTAGTTAATATTATGCATTAGGATGTGAAGCACTAAGGGCGTCTCTGACGCTTACTTAAATGTTTTCTTAAAATTTAAATTTGTTTAAATATGTTTATTTTTTCTGTTTCAATCATGATATTAAACTCATATCAAATGAAGGTGAGATTAAATTTTTCATCAATTAAGAGAGCGTTTAATTTTTTATCAGGTGGCTATTGGTGAATGACTAGGTAGACGACTGGTAGGTCAACCAGGTGAATGACCAGCAGGACAACCGGGTGGATGACCGGCTTGAGAAAGTTTTGTTGAAAATTTACTCTAGGCCGAATGATCAACTGGATGACCGGCCAAACGACCAGTTAGATGACTGGTCAGATTTGATGAAACGATTAAAATGCAACATTTCGGATCAAATTTTTATTTAAATTTAATGAAAAATTTGAGTAAGCGTCGGAAATCCTTTAAACAAGTTAAACTTGATAAATTCCAATGCACTTTATAAATAAAATAAACGAAAGGAAAACTATATAAAATTTGGATTATATATATACACAATTTATTAGGCATAGTTATAAAACATAACAAATTATCAACTATTTATAAAACTTGTTTGCATCTAGATAAATATACAAACCAGTATGATCACAATTTTAAACTTCTTTAATTTTAAATCAAAGTTTACACAACTTATGATTCAATTTGATGCATTAGCAATATTTTTGATTGACTCTTTTTTAGTGAACTTATTTTGAATTTTTTCAACCCAAAAAAAAAATGATTTATAAGTAATTTCTAGACTTTGTGAGCTTGGAAAGTAAAAAAAAAAAAAATAATAAAATAAAATTTAACAAACTATTAAAATAAGAGATTTTTTTAGGTGTTGACAAATATGTTTAAAATGATTATGCATTATTTATTATATTTTCTTTTATAAATAATATATACATTTTAATTTTTTTTAACAAAAATAAAATAAATTTTGAAAAAGAAAAAAAAGAAAAAGAAAAGGAAAACGGCGTAATTCTTATCGTTTTAGCTTATGGCCTAGTTTGGGAAGATTAAATAAGTGTACTTTTTGACTTTTTATGAAATATGGGTTGGGTTTGGATTGGGTTTGAAGTGATGTGTTAGAGAGGTGATGTGACTTAAATAAGATGATGTGACTTAAATAGGATAGTGACTTTTTAATTTTTTGTCTTTTTTTAATCATGCCAAACTTAACCTATGTGTGGTTGTGAATGCCAAGGTCAACAGGGAGGATCGTTTTCCGGAGGAAATTAACTACTCTCTCTGTCTCGGTCTAACAATAAAAAAATGGTAACTACTGCACTAAAGTAGTCATAACTCGATGAATTATTACAACAGAGAAATAACTACGGGGAAGAAAAAAGTGTAGCTAGGATTTAGCAACGTAGGAAGCCCGTCACCACATTATTCGGTAGTCTCACCATATGGTCCGTAGTATTTTGAATTATTTTTTGAAGTTGATTAAAAATTAATTTTTTAATTTTTAATTTTTTTTAAAAAAAATATGTATCAAAAAATAGACAGATAATATGTACTAAAATATATTAAAAGTTAAAAGATAATTTTTAATTGTCTTTCCAAAATAATCCTTTATGATAATACAATTAGTAGAGAAAATAAAATATTAATTATTTATATTATGTAATTGAATAATATAAAAAATATAATAAATGATAATTGATGAATGAATATGACTACGTGGAGATTGGCTTTCACGGACTGGAGAGTGTTATTGAGCTAGTATAGGTCCATTGTAGGTCCCGTTTTGATAATTTGAACCGTTCAATGTGTATAATTCGTCGAGTACTATATACTTATAAAATATCACGTTAATTGGATATTAATAGCTATTTCATTGGATTAGATTTCTGTCAACTATTTATTTTTTTACCGTCTATTTTTTTTATAAAAAATTAATTTAATCACATTATTATTAATATCCGATTAATATAATTTTTTTATGAATATATAATAATCAGAATTTTACATATTAAATAATTCCAATTATAAAATAAAATTTGTGATAAACTCACACAAATCCAACGGCAATCTCCAATCCGGCCGCGTCGCACTCGAGGAAGCCAAACGCGACTATGATACTTCGAACTATCCCATCATTTTTTTTCCTCGAGTAACGGCTGCAACTTTTTAAAATTAGTTAATTAATTAAGTTACTGATGCCGACTATTACAGCTTTTAGCCAGCCGTTTGCGTCACTCTGACAGCTCTCTCATTCGCAGCTTCCCACGTAGTAGAAACGCGGCTTCCTCTCAAACTCAATCCCCTCTTCCTTCTTTATCACTCTATCTATCTATCTACTTCTACTTCTCAGAAGAACCCTCCTCTTAGGCGGTTTGTGGTTAAAAAATCAATTTATTCATTAAATATTTTCATTTTATTATTATTATTATTATTATATTTTTTTTATGTCATTTAGTAAACTTATTTTTTCATTTTTTATTTTTTTTTATAATACATTCTATTTTTTTAGCAATATCTATTTTTTAGGGGTAATTATACTGATCTTTCATGAAATTTGAAAAAAATATAATAAATCTTACAATTTTAATGTAATTGGACTCCTTAATATTTTAATTTACATAGGAGTGTTTTAGAAAAATAGTTAAAAATTGACTTTTGACTTTTAATTAAATTTTTTGATTTTTTTAGAAAGTGATTAAAAAAATTGGTAAAAAGCTGCTTTTGATTTTTTTGATTAATATTTATTTATAATATCACATCATAATTAAATGACCAAAATATCTCCACCCAATTCAAGAAATTTACATTTTTACCCATATATAACCCAAAACAATATAAATGATATAATTGTAATTTCACAACTTGATTTTTTTAGACCTTCCAAATCACTTCTTACTAAAAACAAACATTTTTAGGCAGCATAGAACCAGTTAAATATACTGAAAATATATATATATATATATATATCCAAAAGAGCACATAGTCTCCGTTTGAGAAGTGGGTTAGCTTTTTAATTTTTTGGTTTTTTTAATTATTTGAGCCTGGATTCAAAAGCTTGGTTTGTGAGGAGTTTTTTGGCTTTTTAACTTTTTTGATTTTTTTTTGTGAGAGAAGAGTGTAATGATTATGGGTTAGATGTGATGTTTTGTCTGTTGTGGCTTAAATAGCCTATTCTGTCTTTTGTGACTCAAAGAGCCAAAAGAGCACAAATGAGCTCTTCCCAAATGACACCATAATAGGTCCACTTTTTCCGTTAGTTATATATAGGCTATGTTTGACATGTTATTTTAAAATTATTTTAGTCATAAAAAGAAAAAATATGTTAAAAAGTCAATAAAATAAAATGTCACGTCTAAATCATAATTATTTCATTTTTTTTGTTACAAAAGTCAAAAAAATAAAAAATCTTATCCGAAATGAGACTTTTTGACTCTACGTTAAAATAGTCAAAAAATCAAAAAATCAACTCACATTCCAAACGAAGACATAGATAAAAAAATTATGATATTGTATCTTTTATAATAAAAAATATATTTATTTGTGATTGGAATCTCACTCATTACATTAGTTTGCATTGTTTTAAATTTACTTAGAAGAGATATCAATATAATCATACCAAAGCCGATTAACAACAAAAAAATTATAACTATATCAAATTTGTAAAGAGGTCAATGTATTATTCATAATTTTTCAACTAATAAATTAATTTCCATTCTAAAAAAATAACAAATTATTATTTTTTAACTAACTATCAGTGTAATTTTTTAACTAACTATTAAAGTTTTTGACATTATTCACCCTTAATCAGGTGGTGTTTGACAAGTGGTTTTGGGGCTAAAATAGCCACAAAAAATAAAATAAGTTATTTTAATCATAATAAACAAAACATCACATCTAATCTATAATCATTATACTCTTCTCTCACAAAAAAGGTTAAAAAAGCCAAAAAATCCTCCCCAAACTAAATTTTTTAGCTCAAGCTAAAATAATAAAAAAAATCAAAAAATTTAAAAGTCAACCCACTTCCTAAAGAGAAGCTCAATACTTTACAGGCTGTGGTTAACAAAGCTCTAATTTATACAACAATAGTACATAGCTCTAATTTTTTTTTAAAAAAAAAAAAACAAAATTAGAGCCTACTAACTTTATATAAGCTCGGGTATCTCCTTCAAAATCTTAAAATTTTTATGTAGCTCTTCTAAAATTTAAATATTTTTGTCCAAACTTTCTTAGGGTTGGTTTGGGAAGTGTGTTGACTTTTTAGTTTTTTTGACTATTTTAGCCTGGGCTAAAAAGCTTGGTTTGAAAAGGACTTTTTGACTTTTTAACTTTTTTAAATTTTTTTGTGAGAGAAGAGTGTAATGATTATAGGTTGAATATGATATTTTGTTTGTTGTGGCTAAAATAACTTATTTTATCTTTTGTGGCTAAAATAACTAAAAAAAACCCACAAAATCCCAACCCAAACGGTATCTTAATAAATTTCCAGTATTTGCCACTAGTGGTGATTTTGTGGGGATCGTGATAATGGTATAACGATGATTGTGAGATGGTGAAATTTTTTCTAACACTTTAGAAAATGACTTAATTAAAAAAATACATTTTGCCAATATACCAAACTCGAGAAAAAGCATAAAATATGTTATAAAAAATATTTTCCACCACACGTTAATTAATTCCACGTACTTTCTTAGTAGCAATGAATATGTTATTAAATAAATTACTCATCTTCTCTTAAGTCTTGTTTAAAAATATGTTATTTTAATAATTTTTTAATTTTTTTTATAAAAGGAAATATAAAAAAATTAAAAAATAATATAAGTCCACACCCGTAGTTGAAGAGAAGATCTGCGAGTCCACAGATCTGCGACTCCACACCCGTAGCTGATGAGTAGATCTGTTATGCGAGTCCACACCCGTAGCTGATGAGAGGATTTGGAAGTGATTAAGGGCTCGGAAAGAGAGTGAGTATTTAGATGAGAGGATTAAGGGCTCCAATGGAGTCGACTGGAGAGAGGATGCTCGAAGCTGAGGAGAGAGTGAGTAGCGCGTAGCCAGAGATGGGTTTTGGAGTGTGATAAAGAAGTCTGATAAAGAAAGTGTTAGAAACGACGTCGTTTCTAAATTTCGGGGGATTAGGGGGAAACTTTTTCGAGTTCTCAAACATTTCCCTTAAATTAATTAAATGTCTGTCCCCAGTCTCTGTCTCTCTCATATCTCTTCACTTCTGTAGATCTTTATAACCAAGCCTCAACAATGGATGAAAACACTTGCTTCCCACCAATGGATGAAAACACTTGCTTCCCACCAGACTCAGACCTCGATCTCAGCTTCACTAGCTGCACCTCCACCACCACCACCACCACCGCCACCGACCGCACATTCGCCTCTTCCAGCGCCCGCAGCAGCCTCACCCTCAGCTTCAATGAATCCCGCCTCTCCACCACCTCCACCTCCGTCGCCGCCCCATTCCAATCCCTCCACCGCCGCTCCCACCGCAAATTGGACCCACATTGGTCCGCCATCAAAACCGCCTCCACTCTCTCCTCCGACGGCTCCCTCCACCTCCGCCACCTCAAGCTCCTCCGCCACCTCGGCACCGGCAACCTCGGCCGCGTCTTCCTCTGCCGCCTCCGCGACAACGATCACTCCAACTTCGCCCTCAAAGTCGTCGATCGAGATTCCCTCACCTCCAAAAAACTCTCCCATATTCAAACCGAGGCTGAGATCCTCTCCATGCTAGACCACCCTTTCCTCCCTACTCTCTACGCCCGCCTCGAAGTCTCTCACTACACCTGTCTCCTCATCGACTACTGCCCCAACGGTGACCTCCACTCTCTCCTCCGCAAACAGCCCGGTTACCGCCTACCGATCGAATCGGTCAGGTTCTTCGCGGCTGAGGTCTTGGTGGCTCTCGAATACCTCCATGCTCTCGGCGTCGTTTATCGAGATCTGAAGCCTGAGAACGTTTTGCTACGCGACGACGGTCACATCATGTTGTCTGATTTTGACTTGTGCTTTAAAGCAGATGTGGTCCCCACGCTTCAAAGCCGTAGAGTCGGCGGCGCAACCAGAAGCCGGAGCTGCGGCTGCTTCGTTTACCGGCAACCGGAAGAGGAAATGGTTGTGAGCGAGTTCGTTGCCGAGCCAACGACGGCGTTTTCGAGATCTTGCGTTGGGACCCACGAGTACCTGGCGCCGGAGTTAGTTACTGGTAATGGCCACGGTAACGGCGTTGACTGGTGGGCGTTTGGGGTGTTCGTTTACGAATTGTTGTACGGGACGACGCCGTTTAAGGGGGGTAGCAAAGAGGCCACCCTGCGCAATATAGCGTCGACCAAAGGTGTGAGGTTCCACGTGGCGGAGGGAGAGGAGGACTTGGGAATGGCCAAGGCTAAGGATTTGATAGAGAGGTTGTTGGTGAAGGACCAGAGGAGGCGGCTAGGGTGCGCCAAGGGTGCGACAGATATTAAACGTCACCCATTTTTTAACGGAATGAAATGGCCGTTAATCAGGACTTACAAGCCACCAGAGGTACGTGGGCTTGTTGTGAAGAAGGCTAAGTCGCACGTGAGTCACATGAACGGGGCATCATCGTTCCCCAAGAGACGGCGTTGGATGTGGAAGGGCCTTAAAAATTTTATGAGAAAAAGTTTGGGGTCTAAGCGCAATTTAGTAGATTCTAACCATAACTACTATTGTTACAGTAATATTAGTAGTAAGATTATGAAATCTTCCTGAGACTTCATTTGTTTTTTTTGTGCTTACTTTGAGTTATTGTGTAAAAAGAAAAGGTGAGAGAAAATACAAGTTTTGGAGGACTTTTTTAGTTTTAGTTTTTGATTTTGTTTTGAGAGAGAATTGACAGTTCATGTAAATGAAAAGAAATTAAGAAAATGAAGTTTAATATTGAAATAATACTGATCTGTATTTTTCTGAAAATGAAATGAAAACAGAATATATGTTTGGTTGGCTTTCTTAACATGAGATTTTAATAATCTTTGATGCCCTCTACATGGCTGCCCATAAAATGAAGGAAAGCAATATGTGAAATTTTAGACCTGTTGTCTTGTCTTCTAAATAATGAAGATGAAAGACATATTTCATTTTCTTAAATATTTCTTAAAGTCATCAAAGGAAATATAATATTCATCACCCACGTTACATAATTTCACTCATGTGAACTAAGTTGGATTAAACCCAAAATTGAAGGTTTGAAATGCAAATATTTCCAATTAGCAATATTAAAAAAAGAAAAAGAAAAAAGGAAAAGCAGTTGGGTTCAACAGAAGTTTGTATGATCGTCAAATACTAAACAAAATATTCAAACCTGCATGGAAGAGAGCTCGTGTTGTCTCAGACTGACAAAGCAGAGAGAAATGCTTATTATGATTAGGGATACTAGCTGATAATTAAAGTAATTTTTTTACCCAAATACAGTAAGAACAAGCTACTTCAAATCTAAACTCATGAAAAGCGAGGCGGGGCAGCCTACATGATCAATGATTTAATACGAAGAGACAAGAAATCTTATTGCATTGCAATATCTAAATGAGTCCAGAAAGACTATCAACCTGTATAAGCTCGGAATTATTGTTTTCAGATGGAGTGAAGGCTATGGCTCCATGCAATCTGCAAAATATAAAAGCATGCCCGCCATTAGTCTTCTGACAAATCAATCTCAACACCAATAACCAAATTATTTCACAGAGTGAAGCTGTATGTGTCACAGTTTTTCTCAATTGATTTAAGTCCACACCACAAGGAAACCCTCAATCTCTTAAAAAACAAGGATCAAATCGTAACAGTTCAGTCCTTTGGTAAAAAGGAGCGATGGGAGAAAAAAAAAGCAGCTGAGATTCTTATAGTAATGCTTGTTTTTATTAGAAATTATTAGCTGATATGGTTCTGATATTGAAAATGTTAGGGACAGCTGACCGACTTGAGGCAATGAAATATACTTCATTGTATGAAGAATTTGATGCATCCTCATAATTGTAGACAAACTATTTGATCATAGACAGACAGACTTTTCATTACGTATGAGATTAAAAGTAAGGAGTTTAGGGCAATTATAGAAAGTCACAAGAAACAAAAATTGGGAGACATCAATACATTAGTTTAGTCCCATTGTTGAATAATAATTCTCATCAAAACCTTCTAAATGCGTGTATAACTAAGATGGTTTGTCAATAATCAAGTTCAAAATGGCCGAACCATGAACTTTAATTTTAGTAGATTATGTTGTCCATCGAATTCATATTTTATTTGTTATAGTTGGTACCCACTCCACCAAATGCATGAGAGGGAGAGAGAGAGAGAGAGAGAGAGAGAGAGAGATCACATTTCTTACCTCTGCTTGAATCAACTTCCTCTAAAGGAGTTTCTGATGTTGGAGATGATGTTGAAGTGCTCACAGATTCTCTAGCATCAATCATCATTGCAATGACCTCTCTCATTGTTGGTCTGTTAAATGGGGATGAACTGGTGCAGAATAATGCAATCTTAAGAACTAGAAACATCTCTTCAATCGTCTTTCTTTCACTCAAATCCAACCTTTTGTCATAAATCTCTGACATTGGCACTGCAGCATGAACTGATCTTCTTGCCCAAGTAACCAGGTCCCCTCCCTGATCGAGGGGTTGAACTGGGGATCTTCCAGTAATCAATTCCAGTAGAACAACTCCAAAACTATAGATGTCACATTTCTCTGTCACTTTCATCGTGTAAGCATATTCTGCAATGAAAAACAAGAAATTCATATGTAAAAATCATTCATGGAATTTCACAGAGAGAAATATCATTTATAATATTATTGTACATTTTATAAGGATGAACGGAAAAAAACAGTAAATGAAGGGCTGTATTGTTAAATTACCAATCGTACCGAAAGCTTAAATTGTTAGGAATTGGGCCGAACAATGCACATCAAGCTATTCAATACCCTTAGTGCAGCCTCGTCTTACATGTGGAGATGCAAACATACAGACATACACAGAGAAAAGCAAGAATGCAAACGACAAAAGAAAGAACGAAAATGGGGACTACATGCAAATGGAGAGACTACTTGAACAAAATACCTCTCCCAAATTGAGCTCTAATATACCATGTTAAGTTACCAATTGTCTCAAAAGCTTAGTGTGTTAGAAAATGAGTCCAACAATGTATATCAAGCTATTTAACATATACAAGATTTCTAATTTATACCCACACTCTTCACTTTTCACTAGCTAAAGTACAAAAAAAGTACGCTCTTTATTTTACCTAATTACTTTAGTTATTGTACTCTCCAACCACGCTCTTTATTTTAGCTAATCATTTAAACTAAATTAATTTTTAAAATAAAAAAATACTAGTTGTTGATATTTTACTAAAATAAATTTGCAATAATAATAAATTTGCCCATACAAACATACAAAACCTGTAGAATGAAGAGAACAAAAAATACAAAATACAAAATAAGTTATTCCGTAATTCATCAAACAGAATTGAAAAAACATATAAAATTGCTACATACACACACATATATATAATATATTAAATCTCAAATCCAAGACATAAATATACAAAAATCTAAAATATATACATACATAATTATTTGGAGAGCCTCTAGGGCTCTTTAATTGTAGCCACCAAAAAAATAGGATGGTAAAATAGCTAGCCCAATAGCTAGCCCATTGGGGCTCAAAATTAGACTTACATTGGCTAAAATGCCTAACAAGCCTTGTTTAACTATCCCTTACAGCATCTCCAACGGTAGTAGGCATTTTACCTATCTAAATATTACTATAAAGTATATATTTTATTTTGCCTATCAACTATTTTATGTTTCTTTTCACTAGCTAAAGTACAAAAAAAGTACGCTCTTTATTTTACCTAATTACTTTAGCTATTGCACTCTCCAACCACGCTCTTTATTTTAGCTAATAATTTAAACTAACTTAATTAATTTTTAAAATAAAAAAATACTAATTGTTGATATTTTACTAATATAAATTTGCAATAATAATAAATTTGCCCATACAAACATACAAAACCTGTAGAATGAAGAGAACAAAAAATACAAAATACAAAATAAGTTATTCCGTAATTCATCAAACATAATTGAAAAAACATATAAAATTGCTACATACACACATATATATAATATATAAAATCTCAAATCCAAGACATAAATATACAAAAATCTAAAATATATACATACATAATTATTTGGAGAGCCTCTAGGGCTCTTTAATTGTAGCCACCAAAAAAATAGGATGGTAAAATAGCTAGCCCAATAGCTAGCCCATTGGGGCTCAAAATTAGACTTACATTGACTAAAATGCCTAACAAGCCTTGTTTAACTATCCCTTTGGAGATGCTCTTAGTAGTAGTTATCACTGTTTTCATTTTTACAGCAGCACTCTTACTAGCATAATGTTCATGAGAGAGCAGTTTGTATGCAAAATGCAGGGAAAAAATAAATATGGAAAGTTTGTTTGATCCTTACCTGGGGCAATGTAGCCATATGAACCAGCAACAGCAGACATGGATTTTGAGCAGGGGAAGTCAATCAATTTTGCCAAGCCGAAATCTCCCACATGGGCCTCAAACATTTCATCCAACAAAATGTTGTTCGATTTTATATCACGGTGAATGATTTGGGGCTTACAATCATAATGGAGATAGCACAAGCCTTCCGCTGCTCCAAGAGCAATTTTATATCGAGCATTCCAGTCCAGCAAACATGTTTGCTCATCGCCATGAAGTTGTTCTCCTAGACTGCCATTTGCCATGTACTCGTATAAGAGAACATTAGAGTCCTGGTGGTAGCAGAAACCATAGAGCTTCACAATATTTCGGTGGCTGATATTTCCAAGGGTTGATATCTCAGCATGGAAGCTACTGTCAATGGTAGCTCCTTCTCCGCAAGACTTCAACTTTTTAACAGCAATCACTGGACCTTTAGACATGACAGCCTTGTAAACAGTGCCACACGCTCCCTTTCCTATGATTGCGCTATCTGAAAAATTCCCCGTAGCCTCCACAAGGTCCTGATATGTGAACCCTTTTTTGGGAAAGTAGTAATTATCTAACATGTCCGGTTTCACTTGGTTTTCAAGTGAAACAAAAGTGGGTTGGCGGCGTTTGATAGCCCAACAAACACCCACAATAAAAATCAAAGAGATCAACCCAATAATCACAGAAATAATGCTCACCAGTTTCTCTTTGGAAGAACCGTCCTTTAGCCAACTTGAAGAACTTGATGGGGCTGATGATTGATGACAATGACTAACACTCAATCCACATAATCCATTGTTTCCAGCAAAATTGCTAGAATCCATCTTCCGGAAAACAGGTGTGTTTGGCAATGCTCCCGTCAGGTTATTGTTAGAAAGGTTGCATACGAGCAGGCTCATCAACTCGCCAATTGAAGCTGGAATTTCACCAACAAGCTGATTGTCGTTCAAATACAGCGATTCCAGCATTTGCAAGTTCCCCAGATTGCTTGGAATTGTCCCAGAAAGTGCATTATGACTAAAATTAAGGGCAATCTGAAGATACACAAGTTGACCAAGCTCAACAGGAATACTACCAGAGAAATAGTTCCCCCCCATTTGCAATTCAGTAAGTCGGGCCAGACCCCCTAAGGTTCCTGGTATTGGTCCACTCAATCTATTATCAGAGAGTTTAAGCAATTCCAGATTCACTAACTTGCCAAGTTCATCTGGAAGAAAGCCGGTGAACTGGTTCCTGCTAAGATCAAGCCTCTGGAGCTTTGTACAATTGCCCAAATCAAAAGGAATATTACTGGAGAGCTGATTAGAAGAGAGATTGAATGTGACAAGTTGCACCAGTTTTCCAATCTCAGAAGGGATAAACCCCTTGAAGTAGTTATCTGACAAGAGCAGCCTCTCTAAATTCTTAAGAAGGCCTAGTTCTGGAGGTATCAGCCCTGAGAATCTATTCTGATAGAGTTCAAGAGCAGAAAGGTTGTGAAGTTTCGATAATTCAACCGGGAGGCTGCCTGTGAGCTGATTATCTCCTAACATTAGCTGCATAAGGGGCTTGCATGTTTTTAGGTCATGAGGGATGTTTCCAGATAAACTATTTGATCCAAGGCTAAGAAATATCAATTTCTGGAATTTGCAAAGTTGTGGAGGTATGCCACCTACAAGATCATTGGCGGACATGTCAAGAATCGTCAGGTTACTGTTAACTCCGATGCGAGGTGGAATTGTACCCTGAAGATGATTGTCAAAAAGTTGTAAATCCTCCAGGAACGTGAGTTGTTCAAACTCTAAGGGAATTATACCCTTCAAATTATTTATGGACAAATCTAATTTCGTCAACCGCTTCAACTGTCCTAGCTCTCTTGGGATACTCCCCTGCAGGAGGTTTTCAAAGAGATGAAGCAAGGTGAGGTCAGGTATCTGGCCCAACTCGTTTGGAATCAACCCGCTTAATCGATTTTCAGAAAGATCGATCTCTTCTGCGCTTAGACAATTCCCTAGTTCCCGGGGAATTGTTCCATTGAGCTGGTTGGTATAAATGTACAACCTTTTCAACCTGGTTAATTTTCCCAACTCTTTGGGAAGGCTTCCACTAAAGGAATTTTCATGCAAAGCAAGCAACTCCAAGCTACTAAAGTTTCCGATTTCTGGAGGAATCTCACCGGACAAAAGGTTTTGCCAAAGTACCAAATCAGTAAGGTTCTCAAGTTTCTGAAGCTCTACAGGAAAAGAACCCTGTAATCTATTCTGTGCCAACCCAAGTACCTCTAAGCTCTCACATTCACTGATCTCTACAGGAATCGGACCTGATAAAAAGTTCCGACCTGCCCTTACAATCCTAAGTCTTTTCAATTTACTAAGGGACATGGGGATCATTCCAGTGAGATTGTTACTGTAAATGACAAACTCCTCGAGCAAAGTTAAATTACCAATCTCCTCTGGAATTTCATCATATATATAGTTTTCACACAGAGAGAGCTTTTTGAGGGAGGTGATATTAACGAGTTGGGTAGGGAATTCCCCATGGATTCTGTTAGTACAAAGGTCTAAAACCTCTAAATTACCACAATAAGAAAGATTGTGTGGAATAGGACCGGAAATGAAGTTGGTAGACATATTCAACTCAATCAAGCAAGGGAGGTTACAAATGGATGAAGATAGACTACCAGACAAACTAAAGCCTTTGAGATTGATAGAAGATACCTTGAAGTCCTCGGTGCACGCTATACCACTCCAATTGCATGGAGTCGAATCTAATGAGTTCCAGCTTTGAAGATTGTTGTAGGGATCAACAAGGACTTGTTTGAACGCCAAAAGAACATTCCCCTCTTCATTCAACGATTCGATGGAGACAAACAAGTAACTAATAATTAGTAGCAAATGTAAATGTTCTTGAATATGATACTTCCTCTGCCTTGCCATTTCTGACTGGATAGAAAAGATAAGGCAGAGGACAAGAAAACAAAAAAATCTATACCATAAACTTCCAAGATCACATTGTTAAACATCTAAAAGAGTTTATTGGAGGACTTGAATCAAGACACTAGTCACTAGCTATTACAGGATTGAAAAATTATATATCACCATGAAAATTTATGACCCAGAAGGCAAAATATTCATATGAACTCGTAGAGTTCATACATCAAAATTGAGCTATGAAGAATTACAAAGTGCAAAGACAGACAAATAAGGCACGCATGTCTAGAAACCAGAAACAAATTAACTAGAAAGAGAGAGAGAGAGAGAGAGAGAGAGAGAGAGAGGCTTGAAGGGTGAAAATTAACCACAAAGGATTGGTACCCAACTGAGCATACAACTTGCAGAGCAACGTGAAAAATAAATAAGGAGATAAAGGGCAATAAAGATGAAGAGAGAGAGAGAGAGAGAGAAAGACATGTGCCAACCTTTAAGAGAGAGAGAGAGATTGATGAGATGAGCGGCAAGAAGCTCGAGAGGCCAGCTTTAGCGCAAGAGTCACTATCCAAAACAGAGGAAGAAACAGAGTCAACGCCCACACTTTACAGCAATGAAGTGAATGAATGTGGATGGCAATAATGTGAATTGTGAGAGTGAGTGCTTTGTTCCATCTTTTCTTTCTGATAATTGTCGTTTTTGCTTCTACTGCTTCTCCACTTTCCTTTGTTGTTGTCCTTGTTCTTCAACTTGTTCAAATACTTTGTCATTTGCAATTGGTTGATGGGTGGACCATGGTAGGTTCATCTATTGCTTTAGATGATGGGATTAGAGAGATGATAGAGATGGGTCGTGGAAGTTGATAGATTACAATCTCCGCCATTGTTGCTGAGCCTTTGTTTTTGTTTCTTTTTACTGTTTTAGGAATTGGGTAAGCTTAGTCTTGAATGTAATGATTTTGCATGGAGACCCTCTTTGAGAAAGTGTAGACTCTCTCTTTCCCATCATCTTCCCACTTGAATGAGTTGGGTCATTTGGCATTTGGTAAATATCCTCAAACCAAAAAAACAAGAAAAGAAAAGTCAGGGTCCTCTAGTTGGTCATCTACATTGAAGGGTGTTGTTGTTGGACTTTGTGGGTTACCAAAAATCATTCATCCCTGTCTAATATTAAAAAAAAAGAAAAGAAAAAGAAAGCATTCATCTCTAATTGAGCTTTTTGAGCAAATTATTTATACCAAAAAAAATTAAGTCAATGGAAAAATTGTAAACAAACGAAACGACCCGTTCTTATTTATCTTTAAAAGACTGGACCATCCCTTCTAAAAATTATCATGGTCATTTATTTTTTTAAAAATAAATATGACCAGATCATTTAACTACAGTTATTTAATTAACTTGATATTTTTGTGTAAATAATTTGCTCAAAAATCTCACAAGATAAATAATTTGAATTATTGAGATTGTAGATATGATTGTACCCATAAAACTTAACTGTACCCTCCAGTTGAATCCCAATGACAAAATTTTGACTCAACAAAAAATTATACAATTGTTAAAAAAAAAAAATTATACAAATTTATATTGAAAGAAAACATTATTATCATGACATTATGATAGATTTTGACGCATAAATTCATGAGAAAATTACAAAAAAAAAAAAGGAAAAAAGAAGAAGGTATCAACACAAAATAATGATAATATCATGGAAGTACAAATAATTTATATATTAGATTATGAGATTAAGTGTGGTACTTTCATCTCTTTGTAATTATTTTGAGATCATATCATTTATTTTTATTTTTTATAATTGTCCCTAAATTCATTGTTGTTAAAATAATAAAATTTAAAACTATCAAATTAGTTGGAATAAAAACCACTATGGCTATGGTCAATTGATATTTCAGATCCATCTCTACTTTAATTTGTCTTATAGTTATGAATAGAGTTACAAACGAATCAAGTCGAGCCGAGTTTTGCTGAACTCGAGCACTGCTCATTTATTTATCGAGCTTATTTATTGAGCTTGAGCTCGGCTCGATAAGGAATTGGGTTTGAGCTCTGCTCGGCTCGTTAATATTAATGAAACTTGAGATCAGTTTGGCTCGGTTCAATAAATTTTTTTAAAATATTATTTAAAAAAATATTATTTATATATATTTATATATTATTTAATATATAAATAATATATTTATTATATAATTTAAATAAAGATAAACGAGTCTAGTTTATGCGAGCTCGAGCTCGGCTCGTTTATTAAACGAGTCTAATATTCAAGCTCAAGTTCGGCTTGTTTACTAAACAAATCGAGCCGAGCTGAGCCTTTAACCAACCGAGCTTGTTCGTGGACATGTCGGTTCATTTGCCGTCCTAGTTATAAAGGAGCATAGAGCATTATCACATTAGAATGTATTAAACATCCCTAAATAACTAAAATCCCATCTTATACGGACACACGATAATACATTAAATTTGCAGTCTCATTACATCTTTTAATTGAGTTTTTCTAATTTCATCCCAATGATGTGAATGGAAAATAAAGTTTGAGAGAGAAGGAGAGGAGTGTAAGTATATATTTACGTTGGTCTTAGCCACATCATTGAAGATAGAATTGAAAGACTTCAATTAAAAGGACGAATAATTTTACTACATTTCGTATGTATTTACTAACAATAATTTAATGACAATTATATTTATATATTAATGTTTATTTATCATTTCATAGATTATCACAATATTAATAGACAAATACTTGCAACTGTTCTTAATACTTTACGATTCTCGATACAATTTATAGGAATTGCTTATTTTATTTTATTTCATTTTTGAGAGTTTATATTTAGACTATTTGATGTTATTTTTATTTACAATTAATAAAAACTTAAATAAATTAAAATAAACTTATTATTTAGAAGTTGAGAGAAAAGTACTTTGAACTTCTACTTTTAATTATTAGTTTTCAATTTACAAGCCCATTGTTTAGTATGGAGATTGGAGTGTGTCTTCAGAATAATTAAACGGTTAGAAAGACATTTGATTTTAATGAAAAAATAGAATTCACAGAAAAATATATATATTTTCACTTTATGTTTTGTTTGTTTTGACATAAATTTTACACCTAAAAATAAATTTTATATAAATTAATTTTGTACAAAGCGACGATCCTCTCTCCCTCTTTCTCCTCTGTTCTTTCTCCTCTCTTCTTCCTCTCTTCTCTCCTTCTTTCTCCTCTGCTTCTTCCTCCTCTCTTCTCTCCCTCTTTCGAGCCAATTCGAGCCATTGGATTCGAGCTACGGCTCATTTCCGTTTTAATTATTAGTTTTCAATTTACAAGCCCATTGTTTAGTACGGAGATTGGAGTGTGTCTTCAGAATAATTAAACGGTTAGAAAAACATTTGATTTTAATGAAAAAATAGAATTCACAGAAAAATATATATATTTTCACTTTATGTTTTGTTTGTTTTGACGTAAATTTTACACCTAAAAATAAATTTTATATAAATTAATTTTGTACAAAAAGATTTATTTTTCAGTCTTTGGTTCGCACTTTAAAGCCAATGAATAGCCACCCTTGCATTTGAAAAATCAATGCATTCGGACATCTTCAATGGTAATAGCTATTTTAACATTGTTAACATTATAATTTAACATGTTATAGTAATAAAATATCAAATTATGACAATGGTGTCGCGATAGTTACATGCCATTTTGGTATAATGTCAACTAATTTTTTTTTTTTTTGTTTAAATTTTTTTTAACTTGCGTTTGGGTTTAATACTTTGAAAGTTTTTTTTTGTCGATTCCCCCCACCCCCCCTCCTTTTGTGATCTTTACATTTTATATGACTAAACGAATCAAAATATTAAAAAATAGGATAAATTAGAAATACATTTTTTGAAATTTAATTAAAATATGAATCGTCTCCTGTAATTTTGAAAATTACATTATTTTTCTTGAGATTTTTAATTTCATAACAAATTGTCTATTTTATTACTAAATCATCAAGTCAATTAACGGTTTTTAATGATGTGAAAAATATGTTTCAATTGATAATTTGGGTAATTTTACTATTGTATAGGAGAACAATTATGATTTTTTTTAATTAATTTTGTTAAATAAAAAATTCTGTTAATTCTAATAAGGAGGTATTTGTAATTTTTTAAACCATAGGGGACAATTTATAATTTAAGCAAATCTCATAGGGTGTATTTATAATTTATCCTAAAAAATAAAATAAAAATATTGAAAAAAAATTAGATGATTCTGTTTTACTTATCATTCACCTACCATAAAAAAATATTACATCTATATATATGAGAAGCTCTTTCTTGATATGGTGGCTTGTCAATTTTTTTGTGTACCTATTTTGTCATTTCATTTTGAATAATTTATTAATGGTGGCCTATATATTGAGTAAAAGTTTTTTTTTTGTAATTATGTAAACATTTTTGATCAATTATGCAACAGATTTTTTTTTCGTAATTATGCAAATATTCTTGGTCAATTATGAAACATAAATCTGTTATTCTTTATCAAATTACAAACACACTTATAAAATTTATTTAAAATATGAATCGGTCCTATAATATTAGAAATTACAATTATCATTTGTTATAAATTTTAATTTAACACCATGCCCAAGGGGAAAAAAAAAAACAACTATTCTCCAATGCAATAATAAATTATCAAAATTGTTTATTGAAAAATATTTCTCATATCATGAAAAATTGTTAATGGACTTAATGATTTATTTATTAACAAAATGGTTAATTGAAAAATATTTTTCATATCATTAAAAATTGTTAATTTACTTAATGATTTACTTATAAATAAAATTGATCATTTGTTATGCGAGTATGATTTATGTATTAATAAAATTAGTCATTTGTATATATATGTATTTTGTTATGTTTTTTTATTAGTTCAGTGACTAATCTTAGCATTTTTTTTTATGAGAGAATTATCTTAGTATTTGTTTTACATTTATCTATTGAGAAAATGTACACACCATAATTTTATTTTTATTATAAATTTGAAAGAAATGTTAAAAGCTCATAAATTCATCCAAAATGATATGGTAATAAAATTGGAGTCGATAACAAATTAAAAAAATGATACATATCATACCACATAAATCTATTATATATCTAATGATTTTTTCTATTCAATTTCATAAAACAATATTTAAAATTTTAAAAAATTATCAAAATATAAAATTTAAACGTACTGTTATAAAAACTTGTGTATTGTACGGACCTATGTAAACTAATATCAATAATGCTAGGTATCATGAAAATAATGTCATGAAAAGTTTTCATGAAGATTCTCCACCATTAGATTAGATTATAGTGTTTGTAGTGTTTTATTGTATGTTATGCATTTACCCTTAGATTAGTTTCATGAAGTTTTTCATGATATTTATTTCATGATATGTAGCATTACTTTACTAATATATATATATATATATATATATCACAGCCCTTGG